CCAAAATCATAATGGAAAAGCTAATAAGTTCCCAACATGAAATATAATAACAAAACTATAATCGACGTTTAGCCTAACTACAGAAAGATTCCGGGTTACCCTTTTTAACGTAAGCCATTGAGGTTTGTATTTATCTAATTATCTCAAAAACGCTCTGCCTTCAGGGTGCACTTTTGCAATAAATATAATTTTGTCTTTGGGTATTTGTAATTTGAAACAAACATATAAGCCATTCCGTGATTTTTCGTTAGTCTTAAGGTTTATAGGTGCTTATCACTAAAAAGTCCAGACAAACAAATACTAAATGATGGCAAATTTTGAGCATGTAGTTTTATTTCTTGGCCCAACAAGGTTTCCCTTTTTTCGGTTTCTTATGATATTATGACTAAAATTAATTAAGGTCATCTATATATAGGTTACTACGACTAGGGAATGTAATATTAAGGCTCTAAAGTGTGAAATTCACAAATAAATGAATTAGTTTCTAAATTTGAGGTTCAATTTTGCGAAGAAATAAAAGCAATTATATAATTTAGCCTTTAGAAGTACAAGGTCATTGACCTGGATACATTGGCTTTAAGTAGAATACTTGGCTTAACTGTAAAAAATGGAAGGTACATACTCAATATCGGCCATATCATTAATGAGCTTAATGCGAACATCTGCCGGCATCTTGATCTTGAAAACAAACCTGATATCAGGTACATACAACAAATGAGTAATAATGAAACTTCCAACTTGTAACAGACAATAATATTTACACACACATGGTTACTTCTCTCACAATATCAAGCAGAGCCAACCCTTTCCGGGTCTTCATCTCAGAGATTCCTGCATATCATGAATTTCAATGAAATAAAATAGATGAATACTAGAAAAGAACAGTGTGTACAAAAGGTTCAACCATAGACATACTTTTACAGCTAGTGGCAAAAGGCTCGTTTAGGAGCCAATGGCAAATCTGCTCAATGTCTCTAGGCAAAGGATTTCCTGTGCATAAGTACACAGCTTCTTCAGTGATCTGCTGGGAAGCCATATGTGTTGACTGCACACAACCAAGAAAAAGGAAATCAATAAGCTACAGTTACATTGAGTATATTCAACACAAAGGTAAGAAAAAAAATAAAAATCGTGCACAGATAGCATTTAGATGCAAAATGATTTGTATGTCCATGTTCCCCTCAGAAAAGATCCATTCATTTCGTTTCCAAATTCAACTTTTTATCGAGGATCAAGCTATATACTCAGCAGGTAAACCAAATTGATAAGACATATGCAGCAAAATGTGAACCTGTAAAATGTTGAGAGCCTTTCTCATGTCACCATTGCTGAGCCTTACAAGAGCTTTCATACCATTCTCAGGAACATCAAGCCTGAATATATGTATGAAGCAAACTGATATAAGCTAAAATTCACCAACGAACCCATATAACAACTTATGGTTGAAAGAAAACAAATAAAGAAATAAGGAGAAGAAAAAGAACATAACACATACAAATAACTATAAACAAACATGAGGCATAACTTACACTTCAGCTTTAATGACATGTTTAAGCCTCTCCATGACATGAACAAAGTCGAGAGGAGCAAATCGG